CTCGAATTTCATCTCTCAATACGTTGTGCTGCAAAGTCTTCGATGTAATGACATGTTATCGCGCGTCAGGAAGAAAGAATCAACAAAAACATTTCCTGAGTTATCCAATCGCAAAAAAGAATTAGATTGAAGACAGTATCATTCGCGTACATTCGGTATGAACGCGATATACATATATTCGGTTGCATCGATCGTGAAGTTTCAAAGAACTCCCGATAGTACGTACGATTGTGTGAGGAGATTCACGTGCAACAGTTGTCATTAACATCTCGAATGTGTGAGACTCACAATTCGCGTGTATGCGTTCATTGCGAAATGCGGTCGCTTTTCTCGGTACATCGCATGACCGACGATGAAGCAATCGGCCGCAATTGAACGAAAAAGATACTCGACCGTTGTGACAATTACTATGATTCTGAAAGGATACTTCCTGCCGAGTCACGGCGCACGCAATTGCGGTGATTTTTTTGTGTCGAATATTACGGCCGTCGATCGCAAAAATTGCGGCAATAAATAATAATGTTCGTATCTATTATCTAAATTTATATATGTATTTCTATCCATATTTTAATTTATTAAAACTTATTAACATGTATATTGTGCCTCTTTTACTTTTCAATTAAATTAACGCTTATAGAATTCAAGTCTTTTACGCTTCAATTTAAATTTAATGAAGAATGTAAGTGTGCAACTGTTCACGCTTTCCCTCGGCATCGTCCCTGCGTCTCTCCATCGAATACTTTTTCACGTTTCGATTGCCATCATCGTCCACGTCCGAGAGGCGTCTTCATCCGCTAATTGAATCAATGTTACAGGACGCGAGAGCTACACGCGGCGAGTATCCCCTTATTTCTCGCGACCGGCCGCGGTCTCCACGTTTGGAAGGCGGATATCGCGGTTGTCGCTTATGCCCGCGGACGTTAAGATTAAGGCGGCGATCTCGCGAAGTGCCAGGAGGCCGTCTTTTACGGCGGCGGCTTGCTGTGAAACCGTACGCCGATTCTCGATGGCTTTGCGCCATCATTCTACAACCCCGTGGCGAACCTTAAGCGACCGCCGGACTCCGTAAGAGCCCTGGCGAGCTATCCGCCTCCTCTGCAGACTCGGTTCTGCACACTTCAGGGTCTGGCACTCGAAGATTGAGCCTCTCATAAAAATTGCGTCAGTAACGATACGTTCTCTTAAAAAGACAAGTCAATCTTGCATTGATCTTTGGACATTGATCTGACAATAGAGGATAGTCGGATAAGAATATGGCAGGAAAAGGTGAAGGAACGACTGAAGAACCGAAGGCGTCTTTACAACGAATAAACCAAAACGGCCGCCGGCCGTTTCATTCGCTTGACGGTAGATGCGGCCCTGCCTCTATGGATTGAACGCTTAAAAACCCGCGGACACCTAATGGTATCCTTATGCGCTTACAACAATATGGTTAATTGAACAGAATATTCTTGGTGCTTGGCTTCGCAGCAGGTCCATTATTCGAATTACGACATGGCCGTCTCTCGGCGTGATCGCGCCGAGTTCCGCATATTTTTCTGGGCCTTGGGCACGATAACGTTATAATTTAGTACGTTCGAAGGATCCCGCATGACGCATTGCTGCTCATGTCGAAAAAGTTATTCTAGGGTTAATATCATAAATTCAATATATCCGAGAGTCAAAGTCGGCTTGAAAGCACGGTACGTAGAGTTTCTAAAGTTACTGTATTCCTAAGAGCTCATCTCTTAGTTTTTAATCTATAATTTAGTCATGAATCACGCGTTTGACTGAAGCTCTGACGTTTAGAAACTCGCTTTACTCGTTATTAATTACTATCATCGTAAGACGTCGTCATAAAACTTCATCTTCCAGTAATCGCAATAAATAAGTATCTAATTTAAAATAAGCTTCGAGAAAAGCGGTAAAACAAGGCCCGCTGGAGTTTTTACTGTACAAACTCGTTTTAAATTTCGATTAGGGAAGTCGTGGGAAAATTGCAGCGCATCTTTTGGCATGCATTTCAACAACGCTAAAAAAAATGCATCAACGAACTACATCACAATCGTAGCTACAAAAATAAGTAAATCAGATTGCGCGCGAATTTATTCTACGCGTTCTCCACGTCGAAAATACATTTCTCCTGAACCGTGTTCCGTGTCAACCATTTCATTTTTTCCCTTATTTTCGCAGTCGTGGTGGCCAAAGAAACGTCTGATCCCTTCAGCGAATGCGACACAATGAAATTGGATTAAAGTCGTGCCCTCGCTAGTTCTCGCCGGCTCGTTCTCTCTCCCCGCAGCGACGCTCTCTCGAGAGCGAGAGAGGAGTTTTAACGATCTACCGCCGTACAAATTGTCAAGATGCTATCATCTCTCAGCGGGGAGGGAGAGCGAACGGGGGTAAGAGAGGCAGATAGGATGATACGACGCGAGAGAGGTGAAGAGAAAGAGAGAGATAAAGAGGCGCGAGAGGAGGGAGGGCAACGAAGGGGGCGAAAGGAGAAGATGCGAGGGAAGATTAGGGCGGCATCTCCCCACGGCGAGGTCGGTAACAGAAACTGCTGTTGGTGATGCTCTTGATGCCGCGCCGCAGTCGCTGTTGCCGCCGCGTTTCGCCGCACCACCACCGTGCTCCTCTCGACTGCCCTCGTATCTGACGCGATTCGTACGTTGAGGATTCTCAACAGTAAATTACAAAATATGCTAAGCGGCCGATATAAATCAAAAGTGGGGTCCCCCGAGGGGTGAGAGAGAGAGTCCTTTACCCGTCGCCTCCGTCTCCCGGATTCCACGGCGCAAAGGGGTAAAGGGTCCTCCGCATCCTCCGTGAGTCGAGCGAACCCAAAATATAAGGAGGAGACCCCCATCACGAATCGGGAACGAGGGAGAATATCTTTCCCTTTCTCTCTTTCTCTTGTTCTCGTGCAGGGCGTAGAACGCCAATGCGATGGTGCAGTTTGCAAACCGAGCAAATGGACCGGAAGACTCGAACGCGAGATATAAATAGGCTCGACTGGAGAGCAATATATCTACTCAACTAAACTCCACTAAATTGCTTCGAAGTAATGTAGACGGGAACGATGTAGAATCGGGAACGTTCCGCGGTTCCGTATGAGTAAAGAGGGAGAAAGAAAGAGAAAGAGTAAGAAAGAGAGAGAGGGGGAGAAGGGAAAGAAAGGCTCCGTTTATCGATGGCACGCTGCGTACTCATTTAAGCGCGAGAGATTTATGGAATATCGATAAACTCCTGAAGAGAGAATTGTGATTGCTATTCCCTCGAACCATAAGAGTGTAATGTACGTAAATGCCGTGTGCGTGGAAAGTTCGGGTCATTTTATGCCTCTTTCTTGCGGTATCAACAATTTTATACAATTTGTCTTAACATCATGTTAGAACAGATATCTAATATACACGCCATTCGATTAACGAGAATTACATTCATTCAATTCCATATTTAACGAGAAAACAATTTGAACGTATCATCAGTGTCGAATTGATGCACAGCCCCTCTCTGCATTTATCTCGCAATTAAGATAACAGAAATATACCTATATGCTCGGCAGAATGCGCGAATTATCTAATTAACGCGTCAAACGTCTCTCTGCGCCGACCGATTTTACACGCGATTGTTCCGCGTAATCGGTCGCGGTAACGAATTATGTTCACCGCGAGCGCTCAATTACGCGGTCGAGACTATTAATCGAGATACGGCGAAACACGAATAGCTAATAACGCGCTAAGAGTGTTCGCTGTAACATCAGGACTAACGCGGTACTATCTGCGGATCTACGCTAATCGAGTCCTCCCGATGCACCCGGTACGTACGCCGTCACGCACACGCACGTGTTTATGGATGAGCCATGTATACGAGACGCGCGGCCACGTGCACGCGCGCGGCCGGCGCGCTTCTAAATTAAGTGCATCGAGCGAAGAAGAGCCGCGCAAGTGCATAAAATTACGTGCGTTACATGCGAAAGGTACTTTTGCAGATTAAGTACTCTACCAAGGCTAGGCACTTTCAAAAAACACCGAGAAAAATAATTATCCTCTCTCAGTTCCTCTTTCATATAAATTATTATAAAATGGAGAGAGAGAGAGGAAAAGAAAATGAAGAAAAGGGAGAGTAATATGTAATCGTGTAAGAAAGTTATATAAATACACGAATGAAACATAAGAAATAATTTAATTTAAAAAAATTGATAAATGTGTGGTTATATATATATATTACGGAGTTATTTTAAGATCTTAGTATAGCAAAATAGTATTAAACATTTACTTCATTCTATTGCAAAGCCTTCAATTCTACACAAAGCTTCATTTATTATTGTTCCGAATTAATACTGGCTTCAGATTTCTATCGAAAAGCAAAAATCATTTTAAATTTTATAGCTATTTTTTTAGGAAATTGTGTTTCTATTCCAGGCTCCGCAAAAGTTCCAGTTAATCTCGACGGAGTCTCGGGAACGCGAATATTCCTGAATTATTTAAATGCACGAGAGGCGTGCAGAATCTTCCAACATTCGCATGATTATATTCCGTGGATCGAGCCGTGGAAAATCGCGTTTTTTTTCCCTCGCCTCGCGTATGATTACGAAGCTTACACGCGCGGATGAGAATCTGAAATAGCGAGATAGCGAGGTACCCGCGAAACTTCAAAGCAGCGAGAGAACGTTGCATAAAGCGTGCGTAATAGCGACCGTTGTCTCCGGTCTTATTTTTATCGATATCGAGATAAAATTCGCATTTTGAAATTTTATTTTAGCATTATGGTATTTATTATGATATTATAAAAAGTAAAAAAAGGTACTTTTGAGTGTTACGAGAAGTTAACGAAAACTTAAAGGTACCTAAATTATACGTATACGTTACAAGAAACAAAGATATACGATTTCGGCAGCTGCCAAAGATCGTCAAAAATCGTTTCTCGCACCTTTCTCCGCATCGCTTGATCGTATACCTACATTATACGATCCCTTCGGGTCATACTAAATTTTACAACGTGACAAAATCAACACTCACGTGGACCAGAGTTCGTGCGTGGGCGGCAGTTTGACATCTGCCGTTTTTTCGGGCAGCTTGTAGTATTCGTAGACATAGGACGCGGCGGGATCATCGCTATGGTTAGCCACCGCCGACTGATGCTGCTGCTGAAGGTTTAGCATAGCCGCGGTCGCTACGGAGAGCGGATGCTCGCAGTAGGCGCGCCAGTCACCCTCCATACCCTGAACCTGCACCTGCACCGCGGCGACCCTCTTGTGAACTTCCGGATCGGCGCCCTCGGCGCCGCTCTGCAGGGTCTGCGCCGCTGCCTGGGCCGCCGCCTCCTCCGCTCCCAGGTCCTCCTCCTCTTCCGGTTCACGCTGCCCGGACACGTAACTCTGTTGCTGTTGCTGTTGCTGCTGCTGCTGCGCGTCGTCGCTGACGACGGTACCGTTGGTATCCTCCTCGCTGCGACTGCGTCGCCTGTAATCAAGCGAAGCGATTCGTTTAATCACTGAAACCACAAGCACTCAGCCTCAGACAATTTCGCAAACCATAATTGCATGAATATTTGATTGCCATAATATCTAAGAAGCTGTATATATTATCACTCACACAAGTTCGTCGCTATTACCGCGTTTAAATGTGATATAAAATGTAATTAACGCGAGTGTACAGAAGATATAATAATTAACTATCTCTTTGGTAAAGATGTAAGAATCACGCTTCCAATAGCCGGGCGGTAATGTGTTCTATAGATCCAGCAGGAAGAGGAAGCGTAGTACTTATGGTCGACAATGTTCATCGAGCAGTCGATTCCCGCTGTTGGCGACGACCATAAGCGACACGGCAGTGTGTCGCTTAAAAAATAAAATAAAATAAAAAAAGATATTCCCCGAAGGCTACGGTAATGAATGTGCCGCGGGATAACAGTTAGAAATAACCGGGCCCGGTAGAATGTAATAAATTACAACGGACCCATCGAATTTATCAATTAGCGATAATCGCGGCGCATAAGCCGCACTGATGATTCCTCAATTTAGCAATGACCACCAACGGTGGAAGTGCATCGCGCATCGGCGAACGGTTGCGCCGGTAATTTATCGCCGTCGCGTACATCGCGATACCCAATCGCCCCGTGCGAGCGAGCGAGAGAGACAGAGAGAGGGAGAGAACGTGTGCACTTTCGACTCCGCGCTTAGCCACCTGGATATTTGTCACCGGTCGTTACTTTCCGCTGAAGTAAATACCTTCCGGCTACACGGCGAAGACGATCGACGACGATGAGGATCTATGAGGAGCTGGTGCGCGCGCGAGTCGCATTTGAGCTTCAACGAAAAAAGTTTAATCGTTACGTAGATTAAGCTGGTTACACTTGGCTAATTTTTATGGATATTCGAGTAGTTAATATGTAGATAAGGAATTCTTAAATCTCCGTCTCTACTTTATGTCCCAACACGGCACGGGTATGTACGAATACATATTTTAAAACCAAGCTAACAGAATTATATTCATTGCACGGTTTTTATTTCGAAGTCTACATTTTGACGCTTGCCCTTTTTTTTGCAGTACGCGCATCACCTGTCTCCGCGCGACAGGGATAAACTTAATCGCGGATCGAGAAAGAAATCTCGCGCATTGCCACCGGGTCGGGGAGCAGATGACGGAGGAGACGGGGCGACGAAGGACGAGGGGGAGGGGGCAGGGTTACATCGTAAATACGTATACACGCACGAAGATTAATTATTATAAACCTCTGCCTGTTGCCTGCAGTCATCAATTTATACTCCTCTCTCGTGCATCCCAATTCCAATCCCGATCCCGATCCCGTGAGTCGCGCTACGGAATAAAGGCTCATCCTCTCTAATTTATGCATGTCGAATCAATCTCCCTCCTTCCACCCTTCCTTTCTCCGTCTCCCTCTTCCTCATTCTCGTTTTACCTACGTGAGTTCCTTCTACGTTCCTCCTCGCGCACCTGGACAACCGTCTCGACCCTGAGAGAAAGAGAGAAAGAGAGAGAAAGACCAGCCACCCCGATAATGAGGACCCGAGTTATCCTGTGCAAATATTTTCCTCGACGGCTGTTTGCACAGGCACGAACGGACCGGAGATCCGATCATTGAATGCACCGCCGACGTACGTGCATATAGACGTGAGTTTTTGCGCGGAGAAATCTCGGGCGCGCGAATGTGGTAGTCGATTCCGTATAGCCGGGCTTCTGCCTCCGTCTAGAATATCTGCATCGTCTAGACAATGAATTTATGCGCGATCATCCGGGCGAAAACTTCATTCCCGGCGAAATGCAAACACGGATTTCACGGCGATGAAATACCGCGCCGCGAGTATGATGCTATTCTTCTTTACCCGCGTGCAATCTTCATCTTGTTCGCTATCATCCTACCGTTTTTCACTTGAATTTTCTCTCTGCTATATTAATAGTGTTCATTGATCACGTGCGGCGTGAAATTATTATTCGAGAATATTTCTCATCGCGACTCGGTCAAATTTCTATGGTTCGACATTAGCGATAAATTTACAAGCTTATGGGAGAATTAATTGTAATCACATATCCTATCGAGTCACAGACTCCAATAAATTTTGCTCTCCTGCAGAGATCGAAACCGTTATAATTTCGCTAAGTCTAATTTTTAATGTTGTGAATAAAAAATCTTATGCCAATTATCGCAAATGGATAGAGATCATTAGTATCATTCAATTTAAACTGTCACTAGAGTTATAACGACATCGATTCCTTGCCGTAATTTTATACCTCGTAATAATGTCACGTCCCCACGTATAATACTTATCCGCGTTTATTTATTTCTAAAATTTGAAATAAATCTTGTTACGCTCTTTCTACCGTATCCTTATTTGAGGAATTTCTCTCCAGACTTGATATAAATGAAGTTTTAATAACAATAACTTATGATACATGACATAATTGATAACCGACGTGTATACGTAACGTCGCAAATAATTTTAACAAAATACACGACGTGATATCGTTCCCTTATTAAGGTATTTCATGCAAATCCGACATAATAATGCTCTATAATTTTATCTCGCGGGAGCCCTGGGGACTCGCAAGAAGAAACTTCCGTTGATAGGCCCTATGTTTCTTGTTGCTCTCGAGAAAAAGCGAAGACGCGTGGATGACATTAAAAGCACCGAATCGAGAGGAGCTCGCGCATCGACGGTCGAATTTCAGAATAATGCAAGCACGTATCGCGTCGCACTGCGTGCCGTTTCGTACGTGACCGGTGTACCTCTCTTACATGGGTAACACGAGAAAAAGGTTAAAAAAAATAAAGAAACGGAGGATCATAAAGGCGGAAAAGAGGGAGACGGGGGAAAGAAGAGAAAAAGAACGAGGGATAGACAGAACGTACGTCTCGTTCGTCTCGTATGGGGATATAAGTTCTAAGGACGTACTGCTCCTGTGTATACGCTAGGCTGGTGGATACATATGTAAATTGCGAGTACCCTTATTACGGAGACTTCACCTGCGCATCCGGTTTTCGCGTGTGCTTTGATTTCGTCCCCCCTTCCGTTCATCTCTCAGCTCGCTACCGCCGCGCGCGCGTTCGTGCGACGCATACCACTTTTCTATAACGTTAAATCATAGCCGATTTCATTAAAATCGCCGGGATGAGTAATTGCCGGTGTATCGGCCGTGGTTGGCACGGCGGAGAGAACACGTTCGTGTTTAGACGGCGATATATCTTGCAAATTAAGGTTTGTGTCCCGATAGATATCGCGCCGTCGCATCTTAAACATTGCGCAATTTCGACGACGCGGATGATTTCGAGAATAATTTGGGACATCGTTTTATCCTCAACGACGTAATGAACTCGCGTAATTATGTCGCAGCTGGCGAAAAGAACTATAATTTGTGTTGCAGCCTAATCTCTCTATCAAATATCAATTATCTCAAATATATGGAAATAAAGCAAATTTCTGAAATTAATTTGAAATTAATCGAAAAATGGAGTTTTACGATAAGTACAAAAAAAAATTAATTTCCGATTCGTCGCAGTTGCTAAAATATGTGATAGCTCTAAGGCATTTCTGTATATTCAGATATTGACGATAATTTATATTCCGCGAATAAATGAGGGAGGGCCAGAGGACGATGCGAGGAATCTCTTTTACAACGGTTCGTTTGCATTACGACAGATAAAATTTTATTGCGGCAATGAGGCGTACGAGCAAGAGACACAGATATCTTCGTGGAAATCATCGATTTCTTCCCGCCGGTTAATGTAACGGACAGAAAGGACTACCAGCCGATGTCTTTCGAATACAATCCTGGGGAATGTATAATGCCCGCTCATGTATCTTACCACCGACTATCTATCATAGCTCTTGACACTCCGAGGTCACTAACACACATGACTGATACTGATACATCCAAAGATCTTAATGTTCTGGGCACAAGCATGTATTATGCGGACAACACCATTGAGCCTGGCATTCATCTCTTGCTGGAATCTTGAAATCAGGGATTGACATTTCTCTCACGAAACCAAATCTTATTAGCATTCCTCTTTTAAATAATCGCGCTGTTACTTAATGAAAACATTTTTTTCGAGCGAATGTCTCGAGCGACACGTATTAAGATGATCAAAACTTCAGTACAAAAAACCTGTTTATTACATAGATTGAGCAATTTTGAAATATTTTATTAAAACAAAATTATCTTATCTCCAGACATTATAAACGTGTAATAATTTTATAATCTTGCCGTTTTTTTTCTTTAGAAAAGACAAAGGAGTTAATGTCAAGAAATAATATTAACATAGCTTTATGTAAACATGTACTCTGCGGATCGCGGTGATATCATGCGGAGCACGCGTACCTGTTGCATATTTAAAAAAAAAATTAATCCGTTATTCGCTACAAGCGTCAGGATTTCCAATTGAATAGCTGCATCTCGGCCGATCGATCCGCTCCGTTATTAGGATCATCCGTCTTGAATGGCGGCGATCGTGTTCACTCGGACAGTTCGCCCATAAACATACAAACGTACGTACCGATTCTCTTCTATGCGTGTTTCTCGGACATGCGTCCCGCGGTATCGTCAGGCGGTATGCGTTACGGTGCGTGCGCGTCGGGACGACCCCGTCGACATGACTCGCACGAGTCGCACGCAGTCGTTATTATGCACCTACCTCAATACGCGAATGGTTGCAGGTAGGTGGAATGCACGAGGCTCGAGACCGAGATAAACGCTATCCGTTGGAGAAAGAGCGACGAGGAGAGAGAAAGAGGACATCGCGCTTAATATTCCGTAGGAGTGTTGTCCACGCGACCCGAGAACCCACCCCGTGTGCTCCCTCGTGTGCATTTCAATAAAGCCGCCTTCGCTCGACCGCACGTCCGACCGAATGACACAAAGTCCAGTTGTGTCGGCGTCGTACTTTATCCTTGCACGTCTGTCAAAAACGCGACCGCGCTCTATCGGCGTGTAAAGGA